AACATGTAGGATTGTGTACACAGGAGAAAGACAATCTATATGAACATACGTGTAACATCAAGGAATCGTGCTCCAGGTGAGGCCCAATCGATAGGAGCATACGTAAAACACATGGGATTTGAGCCACTCCTGTTGCCTTCTGAGGCCTCCTGCTCCTGGGGCCTCTCGGGGCCTCCTGTTGCCTTCCGAGGCCTCCTGGCGCTTCCTGTTGTCTCCTGGGGTCTCCTGTGGTTTCCTGAGGCCTTCTGGAGCTTCCTGGGGCCTTCTGGAGCCTCTTGGGACATCCTGTGGCCTCTTGAGTCTTTCTGTGGCCTCCTGATGCCTCCTGGGACCTCATGTGTCTCCTGGAGCCTCCTGGAGCCTGTTGGAGCCTCCTGTGGCATCCTGAGAAGAATCTGCGCCCACGAGCCTGGCCACCAAAACTAGCAAACCGATCGAGACATCCTCAAAATCTGGCCCACCTGGGGGGTGAAATTGAGCGCCTCGCTCGAGACATCCTCCAAATCTGCTCCGAAAGCGAAGGATGTTGGGCACAGAAACAGGCAAACCGCCTGAGACATCCCCACAAAATGGCCGCGAACGAGCCCGTGCAACCACCCCTGGCGGCTCCCCTTAGGGGTGCTGAAATGAGCGCCTCGCTCGAGACATCCTCCAAATCTGCTCCGAAAGCGAAGGATGTTGGGCACAGAAACAGGCAAACCGCCTGAGACATCCCCACAAATGGCCGCGAACGAGCCCGTGCAACCACCCCTGGCGGCTCCCCTTAGGGGTGCTGAAATGAGCGCCTCGCTCGAGACATCCTCCAAATCTGCTCCGAAAGCGAAGGATGTTGGGCACAGAAACAGGCAAACCGCCTGAGACATCCCCACAAATGGCCGCGAACGAGCCCGTGCAACCACCCCTGGCGGCTCCCCTTAGGGGTGCTGAAATGAGCGCCTCGCTCGAGACATCCTCCAAATCTGCTCCGAAAGCGAAGGATGCTGGCACAGAAAACAGGCAAACCGCTCGAGACATCCCCACAAAATTCCGCGAACGGGACCCCGTGAAATACCCCCCCGCCGCCCCCCTTAGAGTGCTGAGACGAGCGAATCGCCTGAGACATCCTCCAAATCTGCTCCGAAAACGAAACATGTTGGATCAGAAAATGGCCAAACCGCCTGAGACATCCCCACAAAATTCCGCGAACGGGACCCCGTGAAATACCCCCCCGCCGCCCCCTTAGATTGCTGAGACGAGCGAATCGCCTGAGTCTGAGTGATGACTGAGTCTGAGTGATGAGAGAGCATGAGTGAGTCTGAGTGATGAGTGAATCTGAGTGGTGAGTCTGAGTGATGAGTGGTGTGTCTGAGTGAGGACTGAGTCTGAGTGATGAGTGAGTCTTGATGAGTGAGTCTGAGTGATGAGTGAGTGGGGAATCAAAAACCCCATCTTTGGATATGGGGAATCAAGAACCCCATCTTAGGATATGGGGAATAACTTACGTGTGTGTCTGAGTGATGGGTGTGGTGTTCTGTCCTGTTCTGTGTCCTTCCGGCGCGGTCCGCCAATAACAAGAACCCCATCTTTGGATATGGGAAATCAAAAGCCCCATCTTTGGATATGGGGAATCAAGAACCCCATCTTAGGATATGGGGGATAACTTACGTGTGTGTCTGAGTGATGGGTGTGGTGTTCTGTCCTGTTCTGTGTCCTTCCGGCGCGGTCCGCCAATAACAAGAACCCCATCTTTGGATATGGAGAATAAAAAACTTGGGTCTCAGGAGGGGGAAAGAAGACGGGGGAGGAGAGAGGAAAAGGGGGAGGGGGAAGTCGTCCTGGGCTTCCCCCCTCCCTCTTGGCAGATCAGGGTGCAGACCAACTGAACAACTGATGACCTTCCCCCCCCGTTTCGCTAAGTGCCCTAGGCGGTCGGCGGCTCCTGGCATTCCTCGGGCTCCGGGCTCGCGGCCGGCGCAGTCCTCCTCGGCTGAAGCGCGGGGAGGCCGAAAAGAAGAAAGGCTCGCCCGCGCGGTTGTTGGAGAGTCGGGCGACGCCCGCGCGCGCCACTGGAGTCGCGGGGGGTCCGACCTGTTTGGTGGAGGAGCGGGAAGGGGGGGGAGGGAGGGAGGGGGGAGGAGAGAAGAGAGGGAGGGAGGGAGGGAGCGAGGGAGGGAGGTAGGAGGAGGAAAAGCAAAACGGAACGGAATGGGGCCACTGATCAAGTCAGATAAAGACAACGCTTCTCCACGTAGAACTACTCCAGAACCGAGAGGATGTGGAAGCCGAGCGGGGCAACGAGATGTTGCTCACGAAACGCCTCTTACCGAACATCATCCGCCACGCTGACGAATGATAGTTGGCCGTGCACAACATCTGCGCCAAACGTTTTCACAGCCACCAGGATATAAGCAAGCCAGCGTCTCTTTACCATGAGAGGCGAACCAATCTTGAGTACAACGTTGAACAGGAGCAAGGCGGATAGTACAGAAACTCCTTATGACGGGCATCCCATTGATTTTCAGAGCTACATGGTCAAAGCCGCACGCCGAAGTGCCAGAAACCCTACCCAATGCCGAAGTAGTACACAAAAATCGCCTTGACAGAAAAGGGCAAATCGATTGTCCTCGGCGCCCTCGTTACCTCTGCCAGCATGCGCGCGTTCCCCGATGGCCGGATCGCGAAGCCGTTGGGGCAACCCTGCGGGCCAGGCCGCTGGGACAACCCAGTGAACCGCTGGGCCGCGGGAGCAAGCCGTCGGGACAACCCCGCGGGCTTCGAGCTGGGCGCCGCCGCACTCAGGCGGGAAGCGGCGCGAAACCTAGCTCCGCCGCGAGCTGCTCCGCCTCAGTCCTGGGGCCCGCAGCCTTCTTGTAGGGCTCAATTCGACTCCTCCGATTCGATTCGATTGAGCCCAATGGATCCCGCATCCGGTTCGAGTCGATTTTTGTATAGTCTGTTTTGTGGGTAGACTGCAGGTTAAGCGTAGGGAAGCGGGGGCTTTGCCTTAGCCATTTTGGGTCCGTAGTCGTTGGCTCGAGATCGAGCCAGGACTCGGGGGTCCGGGGGGCCGCGGGGCGGCCAAAACCGCAGCGTCCTGCACCGCCAGCTCCGGGAGCGGGTGTGCGGACGTGGCCGGCGCCACCAGCCTCGTGGCGGGTGCGCGGGCCAGCGGTGCCATGGCCGTGGGCTTCCTCGGGGCGCATGCCGTGATCTTGGCGGTTAGTGGGGCGTTCTCGGCCCAAGGGGCGATGGGTTGGTGGCTTCTTGGCCGCGCGGGGGACGCAATGTCCCCAGCGCCGGCGCCGCCATCTCAGCCCGGGCCGAAACTCCGGCCCGCGGGCGGCGGGGGGCATGGCAAGGGGCGAGCTCCGCCCGCCAAGCCTGCGCCTGCGGGAAGGAAGGGGCGAGGGCCGCCGGCCAAACCTCCTGGGGTCACCACTACCGCAACCACGACGACGACCACGCCGCCGACGACTACGACGACACCCTCGCAGCCTGGCCCGGGCCGCGAGCGCGGGGGCGAACCCGCAGTTAGCCCAGCCGCGGCCTGGCCCGCAGGCCCCATTTCCACTACGACTGGCGTCGGCCGCGCGCGCGGGAGCGGACCTTCGGGTAGCCCAGCCGCGTCCGAGCCAGCGGGCGGGGCGGGTGCCAAGGGCGGTCCCAGTAGGGAAGAGCCGCGCACCCCGCCCACGCATCCTGGGAGACCCGGCGAGGCATCAGGCCAGCCGACGGGGTCCCCGGGCACCTGCGGGCCCGGCGAGGCAGCGCTGAGCTTCGACCCGCTGCGCTTCAGCTGGCTGGTTGCTGGCTGGTTGGCCTGCTGCGCGTTGGGAGCAGAGGGCCGACATCGCCGCACGGAGGCTGAGCTGGCCGAGAAAGGCACCAACCTGCAGCTTTGGGCGACCGAGGCGCTCGACGCCGGGGAGAAGCTGGCCGAGGCCCGGTCGCGGTGCACTGCTCTGGAGGCCGCGCGGTCTCGCGCCGCCGAGGGAGCCGAAGCGTGGCGCCAGGCGCATGCGAAGGAGGCGACTCGCCGGCAGGAGGCGGCACGGCGACAGAGGATGGCCGAGAGGCTCGCCCAAGGGAGGAACCAGGCTTGCGAGTACGAGCGGGCGCGCAGATTCCGTGCCGAGGAGGCCTTGGCGGGGAGCCGCGCGGACGTCGACGTGGACAACTCGTGGGCGTGGATCGACGGCCTGTTGGCATGGATCGACCGCCTGACGACCAACCTCGAGCTGGGGGCCACGATCGCTGAGAACCTGCGGGCCCGCGTCGACGAGCTCGAGGCTGCCGCGGAGACGGGGGGCGAGGCAGGAGTAGGTACCGCGGACTTCGTCACGGAGCCACGCGCCGCTGGGGACGTTGAGACCGAGCGGGCGGTCCCGCCGCCCTCGCGCGAGCCCGGCGGGGTCGCTACGACCGAGGGGGCCAGCGGCAGAGGAGGAAGAGGAGTAGGCGGCGGAGGCGAGGGAGCGGCGAGGGAGGAGGCCTTTCCGAGAGCGAGGATGAGAAGGCGGGGGAGGATGAGGAGGACCACTATCCAGGGGGAGCTCATTCCCGAGGAGCCCGAGGAGACCAGCCTCGGGGAGCATCGCGCCCTGGGCGACTCCGCGGCTGCCTCGGGCCTGGCGCCGGGAGCGGGCGACGACGGCGACGACGACGCGGGGGTGCCGGGAGGGTCAGAGGTCAAACTGGTCCGCGCCCACGAGGACGTCCACGGCGCCCGGTTGCCGGCGGGTTGCTGGGGCTCCGTTGGCGCCAACGCCCGCGCCGCCGCCGAGGCCCGCGCCGGTGCCAGCATCGGCGCCCGTGCCCCCGCCGACTCTGACACCAGGGAGTACCGCAGGGGGGGAGCGCGCATGGGGTCGTGGACAGGCGGGGACGTGGAGCTCGGCGCTGTGCACCTGGACGACGCCGGCGCCGACGACCGCACCGACACCTACGCCCCCGCCGTCGCCCGCGCTGGCCCCATCGCCTGCGCCCGCACCCACGCCGCCGCCGACGCCATTTGCGACGCGCCCGCTGACGCCGGCGGCCACGACTTCGACGCCTCCGCCGGCGCCGGCACTTTCGCCGCCGCCGCCGCGAGCGGCGACGCCGATGCCGGAGCTGGCGCATATCGCAACGCGGCGCCTCCGCCGCCGGCTCCGGATCTTTGGCGCGGCGCTGGCCCCGAGCTGGAAGCGCGGCTGCGCCGGCGCGCCCTGCCCCTCGAGGGGGCCGGAGGCGCGCTCACGGGGCACCGCTCTGAGCGGGCAACTGCGGAGGCGGCGGGGCGGGCGCTACCGGAGGCCAAACAGTACTGGTTGACGGTTGCGCCCGAGACCTGGGAGGTCGCGCCGATGGATCGCGAGGAGTCCCCCCGAGAAGCCCCGGGGGCCCTGGAGCTGGGGCAGCCGCTACTGGATGAGGCTCGCCGCCACCGCGCCGCGGGCGCGAGCGTCGCCGAGGACTCGAGGATCGTCAGCGCCGACGCCAACGCCGACGCTGACATCGACGCCGATGCACGGGCTGGCACCGGGGCCGCCTCCTGCGACGCTAGCGCCGACGCCCCCAGTGTCTCCGCCTACACCGACTACAACGCCAGCGACGACGCCAGCGCGGACGCCTACGCCGAGGCCGCCGCCGAGCCCGACGCCGGCGACCGCGCCCCCGGCTCCGACGCCTATGAGGACGTTGCCGCTTCCGCGGCCGCCAGCGCAGGCGCCAGCGCCCACGCTCCCAACGTCACCGCCGACGCCGGCGTCAACGCCCTCGGTTGCGAGGCCCGCGTGGGCGCCGCCGCCCGCCCGGCGGCGAGCGCAGGCGCCAGCGTCGACGCTATCGCCCTCGCCCGCTCGGAGGCCGGCGAGGTCTGGGCCGCGCGTTGGTCCAGACCTGGCGCCAGGAGCTCCGACGTGGGACTCGGCACCCGCACCGACGCCAGCGTTGAGTCGGCTCCAGCATAACGGCCTACGCCAACGTCAGCGCCAGCACCGACGTCCGCGCCAACGCCGACGCCTCCGATGCCGATGCGGGCGTTGCCGCCGCCGCGACCGCCAACGCCGCGACCGGCGCCGACGCTTGCACCACCGCCAGCCCCGACACCGGCGCCTTTGCCAGCACGGACGACGAGGTCTGGGACTTAGAGTGGCTCCGGCTCGGCGCTGACGCGGGCCCCGCTACCGGCATCGGCGTCAACGCAGACGTCGTCAGCGGCGTCACCGCCTACGCCGAAACCAACGCCGCCGCCGACCCCAGCGGCGGCCCCGACGACGCCGCGACGGCCGGCGTCAGCAGCGATGCCATCGCAGGGATCGGGGCCGACGCCGACGCCGACAGGGACGTCTGCACGGGCACCGGCGCCCGCGCCGCCGCCGGCGTCGACGCTGGCCCCAACGTCAGCGACCGCGTCACCAGCACCACGCTTCCGCACGCGCGCGCTTGGCTCCGCAGGCTCCGTGCCGCTCACGCGGGCTTCCTCGCGCGCGCGCGCTGCCCGTTCGGCTTTCTGTCGCGCTTGGCGCGACGCGCGCGTCTCGGGCTCTTCGCGGCTTCGCGCCGGCGGGCCGGCGCCGCGCGATCGGGGCACGTTGGTCCCCTGCCTAAGCGAGGCCGTGGGGGCCAGCTCGGGCGTGCGCCGCGCGCTGCCGGCGGGGCTGGCCCAGCCGGGGTGCCGCAACTGCCCTCGCCGCCACCGCCGTGGGCCGCTCCGTGCCTGCCGAATCGCGAGGACTGCCGCGCGGGCGACTCCACCTCCGCCACTGCTGACGCCAGCGCCGACGTCGACGCCAACGCCGCCGCCTGCTCCGATAGCGACGGCAGCGCCGACGCTGATGCGGGCGCCTACGCCGACGCTGAAACCTTCGCGGAGACCGACACCGACGCCGGCATCGACGTGACCGTCTACACTGGGACCAGCGCCTGCGCTGCCGACGGCGCCCGCGCTGGCACTGGTGCCCGTGCCCACGCCGGCGCCGCCGCCAGCCGCAGCGCCATGCAGCG